GTTGCAGACATTGCCAGCAGTCTCCTGCACCACAGCCTGCAGTCCCACATCTCCTCTGTCAGGGCTTTGGTCATGTGCAGGGAACAGAATATTTGACTCTCTGTGTTACCCCAAGAGATGAATCAGCAACAAGTTGTCAAGCTTTTCTTCTTCTCTCTCTTCTTTTTTTTTATTAAAATCAACAAGAAATTCACATGCAACTTGCCTCACCTTGCATCAAAACTCCTCCTTTCTCTCTACTCACCTCATCCTCTTTTGCATTAAACCTCAGTCACTTAGTCATGCCTAAAATTACACTTTTGTAACCATGATGTAATATGCCCACACGTCAGAGTACTAGAAAAATAATAGCAATATTTAAGTTTACCTCCCTTCCCTTTTTCTCCCTTCTCTAACCACTAGACAATGCTCCTTCCCAAGCCGGTAAAAATTTGGTAGTCTTTACAGCTCCATGGGCTGGAAGAAGTAACCCCTCAAGGCATTCTAACAGAAACTTAGAAAGCCCAAGGCTGGCTTCAGGTAAATGAATAAGCAAAAAAAAAAAAAAAACAACCAAAGTAACAATGAAACTTCTCAGATCAAATAGAAGGTTGCTGTCTGAACTCACAGGATTTGAGTGGCTTCAGATGTATCAATTCTTCCATTCTTACTCATGCTCTCTCTTCTCCCTGGGGAGGGCTACAGAAACAGTCATATATAACACATCTCAACAGTGACAGTTCCAGCTAACTACAACTACGCTGTGAGGTTTCTGAGCCAAGATATGGATCCGAGCAAGCCTGCACAGAGCCAGTCCATTCTTGTGTCTGACACTCTGATGCCTCAGCACATGCCAGGGATCAGCTGGAGATCAGCAACTGCTCCTTCTGCTTTTGCATCACAGGTGTTCTTCAGGCCTTTGCTGTGCACCAGTCACCTTCCTCCCCATCACAAGTGACCACGGGCTGGTAAAGGGTCAGGACACATGGATACAATATGCAGTATTGATATGAGGGATGCTGGCCATAGCTGTCCAGGGGATATTTCTCCCTCTCTGACCAGGGTTTCTCCGCTGGAGAAAGCAGAGCTGCAGCAGGCACTGGCAGGGCTGTTTGCCAGCACACCACCTCCCATCTCCACGGATCTGTGAGAAACAGCACCCACCATGCAGCAGCACCCATTGCACACCAGCCCTTCTCGTTGCTCATCCTGCCTCGCTCTCTGCTTATACTCTGTCTCTCAGAGCTCACTGGGTGTACTTTTGCTTCCACGGTGCTTTTGCTGTAGAAGCAGCAATGACCCTGTCCATACAGTCCTTTCTATAATACACCTTGGTTACTGTACATACTGAGCCTACCCAAGGTTTTTAAGACACTAGCATGCTGCCCTCCCCTTTCCTCCACCCAGGTAGGTAAATAGGATGCAGCACCTGATACACATCAACCACAAAAGAGGCCGTATCTCTATCAAGCAGCTCGCTGTGCTTGGCCACATAGCAACACAAATGTTTCTATGTCATGCAGAGCCCTGAGTTGGCCAACTGCACACCCAAACACCAAGCGCACAGGCATCTCCTGGAAACGGTTCAGCTGACCACGAGAGCTGTCTGTGTGCCTGCAACGTGCCTGCTGGCTCAGCGCTGGCCAGGTTTCTCAGGCTGGATCACATAGGAAAGCATGCCTGTGCCTAGGAAGAAAGGACGTGAACCCCAGAAGACCCCCAGGCAGTGGGAGCAGACCAGAAACCTCTTATCAGAAGGTGATCTGGGCTTGTCAGTTCTTGTCATCCATGTTCTCCGCAGAGGAGAGTCTCTCTGGAGCCCTGTTAAATGGTGCCCAGACCCTGGGTTACCTCCACACGTGGCCCAGGCTGCTCCATCAGGAGAGAGGAGGTCAGCTCAGACCACTGCAATCCAGAAACATGATCCGCAGGGAAGAGTCACTTCTTTTCCTCAGGACAGAAAAAACCCAATCATCACAATGGCCAGCCCTGCTGATGGAAACTGAGATATCCTTTCTAGTACAGACACCCTTCCCTTGCTGGGGAGGGAACAAAATACTTAATAAGTTCAAAATAAATTTCAATAATTTGAATATTTTTATTAAATAGTTTAAAAAATAGTCCAAGAGCTATTAATAATGTCAGAATTAAATATTCATTAAGTATTTAGTGGTAACAATAAGCAAGTATTTCACTAAATGAAGAGCCCATTAGCTAGATAAACAGATGACTTTAATAAAGCTGTTGTGGCACAAGCAGTCTATGAATTGACTCTGTGCAGTTTGAAATTGTATAATACTGTCATGACCTTACTTTGAATCTTTCGTCAGAGCCCACAAGCTAAGCAGTGGATTTGCTCTGGGCAGTTTAGAGTGATATTTGAGGAAAGGATCACAAAGCAGAAACACGTGTCTTACTGGCAGCCGTGCCGCTGACTCAACACAGTCACAGCTGCTCTCTGACTCAGGAGCAAGCCTAGCAGCACCTAGCTTTATCCTGCAAGGATAAGCCAGCTGTGTCCACCTCAGGAGATCCCAGCACTATTTATAACATGACTGTCCACCCCACTGTGCCACTGTCTCTGAGATGTGCAGGTCTGCGTGGCCTTTAGCATTTGCATTTCAGATAAAAAAGCTAACTGATCCTTGCCCTCTCCTCATGTGCAGCGGTAGCAACTGCCGCATCCTGTCCCAGAGCTGACTACATTCACAGTCCAGATGAGTTACTGTGTGCTGAGTTATAGAAACCTTCGGGAGCTTTCCAACCCCTCACCAATACAGTACTACCAGAGAGCGTAACCCCAGCGTGAGTTTCCTCTGGGCACCGAATGCCCTTTCTCCCTCCGAGCTGCTTGCCAGTAAAGAAAGGAAGCATGCAATGTGCTCAGCTAGTTTTGCTACAGAAATAGCTGCAAGCTTGGGGGCATGTGTACATACAGATGCCCACTCCCCACTTGGATGTCTGGTCACTAGGAAAGCAACACAGCACAAACAGCAATCAGAAGAGGATAGCAACTTCCAGCCTTTCCTGGCAGGGTCTGGATCCAGCACCTCCATCCCTGCGCTATGTGGTTTGCCTCTCTGATACTAGGAGGGGGTGGGGACTGTGAGAAAACATCAATCAAGCAAAAAGATCCCTAAACTTTAACCTTTTGAGGCATTTTCTATCCTGAGAAATGCAGCGGAAATATCTGAGTGCAGCAACAGCTGTGTGAGCAGAGAGGTGTCCACTTCTAAGTTTCAAAGAAATAGGTTTCCCTGAAGCAAGTAACAGCAAACCACAGGTCACACTCCACCGAGCCGAGAGTAGCACCATGGAAAAGGAAATAAATGCTGCAGGCAGCTGAAAAGCCACTGTTCACTGTGACCAACATCAGAGCTGCAAGAAGGCTGGACCACAGGCAAAGATGATGATGCACCACAGCTGCAGCCTTTCTGTACTGCCTGGTGGCAATGTGGCAGACAGCCCTGGGGTTAACCCATGCAAGGGAAGAACTGCATGGACCAGACACCAGAGTGAGCAAACGGGGAGTTTTTTAATACCAAAGCGCCAGTTCTTTTCCTTGCCCTTCAGACTGCCACATGGGAAGTGCTGCTGGGACCAGAGGGCCCACGGAGGAGCATGGTGCCTTCGGGGATGACAGTGCTTCTGCTCAGTGACAAGTGTCTGGCTCCACTCAAGCTCAAGCCTGTGTTTTGAGATCAGTTCCCTTCCTGATGGCCAAACAGTACTTGAGCTGCCTGGTCTGTGCTGCCCACATCACACCTCCCTGGTCCTCAAATCCTGATGTTTCAATGCTAGAGCCCCAAAGCTCTATGGCGGGGACCCTGTGCCCCACCAAGCAGGCAGCAAAGTAGGGTCAGGCTCCCAGATTTCTGCCATGCTGCTGGAGAAGGAACGGGGTGCTGGCCCCTGATCACAGAGGCCTTCACGGCTTTGGCCATTGCAGTAGCCTGCTGCCCCAAATGAGGAGAGGACAGTGCCACTTCCTAGAAAAATATACCTTTATTTACCATCTGTGTTTTGCGCAGGAGAGAATATCCCGTGACAAGGGGGCCAGCCAAAGCCATGCCGTTGATGGTGGCCAGCACGCCCCCACCTGCACCGCGCAGGGGGTGGCAGGACCAGGACTCCATGGGGACCCCGATGTGTTGAAAGGGAAGGAAGGGGGGTTGGAGATGCCGCTTTCATCTCGGGCCCCACTGTTCTCCACCGCCGTGTTGTTCAGGTCCTATCAGCAGAACATGTGGCCTCCCCACCAGCTCCACCACCACGGTGCAGTCATGGTTTCTCTCCAGGGTCAGGACCCGCTTTGGGGCACCACTGCTTCTGGCACATTCCTTGCAATGCAGTCGGATGAGTTAAATAAGGGGGTTGGGAGACATTTTCTGGGATGGGAACGGTCGATAACTTAACGCAAAACAAACATATCACGCGTAATGAGCCAGCTAGCGGGAAGGTGCCTGTCGTACAGCAGTCACGGTGCCGAGTGCCCAGGCAGGGTGGCCAGCCATGGCTCGTGGTGGGCAGTTGAGGCTGCCACACTACTCATTCCCACACCACTGCCTGCGGTGTGGTGTGGCACAGCCCAGGCACCTGCAGCCCTGGCTCGAGGGGCCTCCTCGACGCCCGCCGGCTGTCCCCGCATGCCTGCTGGCCCAAGCTCACCAGAGCCGTGATGCCATGTGAGGCTGCTGGAATCAGCATCTTCTCAGGTAGCAAGTAGTGAGTTTTCACAAGGTCTTCAGCACACAACGTTTTGAGTTTGTTGTTTTTTTCAGAGGGGGAAAGTGTGCGATTGTCTTCAGGTTGACACAGTACAGCCCCGGTGCTTCCCAGAGGTCTGCTTTCAAGCCTTTACCAATTGCTGGAGCCCTCTCAAGCTGAAGGCCAAAACGTGGTTTCTTGGTGGGCTCCCTTCTGCGAGACCCTGGCTTGGCCACTGCTGCTCAGGCAGCACTCACCCCTCACGCGTGCTAGTGTGTGTGTGGGGGTTGCTGGCCACGCTCCAACAGCTCCATTTAAAGCTTAAATAAGCCAAAGAATGTCTTGGATTCCTCAAAATTAACCAGAGCGATTTTGGAGACATTGACGTGCAAACTGTCCATCATCCTGAGCTTGAATAAAGCCCCCAGGTAACTTTTCCGGGCCCATGTTTTCTGACTTGTACAGTAGTTGATGCCTTTGTCCTCCATCAGCACATGGCTGCCCGGCATGGCCGGGTTTTTCTTGTAGACGATGTGGGTCAACACCTGGCTGCTGCAGACACTGCCCCGGAAGAGCACATTGGAGTACACGAAGTACAGGCCGGTCTCATTGATGACGAGGCCCTGATCGCGGTACTGAACGCCGTTGGTGAAGGCATGGCCAGAGATGGGTTCCCACTCCAGAGGGAGGTCCCGCTGGGCAGGGTTCCCTGGAAGCCGAAACAAGAGAAAAAGTGCGCTAAGCACGAGCAGTTGTGTGTTTTTTCCCCCTCAGGTCACACTCCATGTCACAACAAGTCAGCTGTTCTCCAAGCCCTTGTCTGCAGCATGGAAAGTCCACCCCAGCCTCGCGCTGGTGGGAGCTCTCGCCTTCACCTTGCTCAACGCCAGCTGCTTGTGACAACTTTCTGCCCCGCATATCCCAGGTACAAACCAAAAACCAAACCAAAAAACAGAACACTCACTGAAAAGCCTAAATGAGGGGATTTTAACTTCCCGGTGGCAGAGCACACGTGTTACCAAAGGAAAATAGGAAAGCCTGTGTGAGGTGGGCTCCTCACAACTACGACCATGCCACCCTCTCACCCCAGCCATGTCTGCCCTATCCCCTGCTGCCACATCTTGCTGGCCCCTCAGCACGTACCTGTTAAGTGTGCTGCCTTCCTCGCTTCCTTTTTCATGGACTGCTCCTTCTGCCCTGCACAAAAATAGGGAAGATGTTAGCCATATGCTCCATGGAGAAGCCAGCCCAGAGAGCAGAAGGGAGCTGACCACGAAGCCGAAATGGGGCAGATTCAGAGCAGCACAGGGGACATAAGCACCATGGCTTAGCGCAGCGAGGCAGAGCGGTGCTTGGGCAAACGCTGCAGGGCAAGAGAAGGAGTTAAAAGGAAGAGTTGCAGCAAAGGATACTGATATGATCAAAAGCAAGGGGAAAGAGCAAGGAGAGCTTTCATCTTAAAATGGCTCAGTCAGTGAGCTCGAGCAGAGGCCTCTCACTCGGGGTGTAGGAAAGGGATGCTCCTGTTCACCCAGCATCTCTGACCCATGCCAAGGTGGCTGCTCATGTCCTGTGATAGAGGAGTCTGCTCTATTGCCCCCCTCCAGTCCAGCGCTGCCGAGGGCAGATGTACCCGTGGCAGTGGAATTCTGTCTGCTGAGCACCAACCCTCCTTACAACTAGATCAGAGAAGACACTTGAGAGATCCTGCAAACCATCCCACTGGCCAGGCAGACATTGTCCTCAGAGAGGCAGAGCACAGCTAGGAAAATTCTGCCTTCCCTGGAGGGCTTGGGTCACCTTGGAGAGATGGGCCAGTTACAGTGACTCGGTATTTGGACCCCATCCCACTCCATCCTCCCCTTCTTCTCAGCATCTACTTCCAAGCATCATGTTCTCAAATTTAGAAGCAGCCTTTTCTCAAGACAATTAAATTTTCCTCTCCTCTCTCCCTTCTCCTTTACACTGTTTTCCTGGCCTTATTTATTTATTTACCCCCCTCAAGAAATTCAGGGTTATTATTTATGACTTATGTTCAGCTACTGCTAAAGTAGCCTGTGATCAGAGCACTAGGCGTCCGGTTAAAGTGACAGTTACCCCTAAGCAATAGATTACAAAATTTATTGATATGGAAGTTGATGGGAAGCAGGACTGCCCTTTCCAGAGAATTTTGCTATTTCCAAATTTGCTTTCATTCAGTATCAGAACAAACTTGAAAAGAAATTAACTTTCCTAACTCACCAAAATTCTCAAGGGAAAAAAAAAATCTTTTCAGATCTAGCAAAAATTGTCAAGAGAGCTGAAAATTTCTTTCCAACTTGGCCATCTTTAAGAAGGGATATCCTCACTGATAACATTAACATGGAATGTAAAAGTAAAACAATAGTTCAGAAGTTCAAAATATGATTTTGAAATTGTTCCATTCAGATTGAAACTCTTGGCATTTTTTCCTAAATGAAATTTAGAAAAGTTTGCAGGTTCTTGTGGAAAGTTTCAATTTCACTGAAATGACATTTCTAAAAGAAAAAAAAAAACACACCTATAATCAGACTCTTCTCAACTAGCTTTGGCTGCAGTGATACTGTGTACCAAAATTTAGGAAAAAATAAGTTGCGCTCTCAAGGGTGAGAGCGAATCCCCCACCCCCAGAGAAAATGAAGCCCTCTGCATCCTCCCAAAATCTTAAGAGAGTAAAGAGAGAAAGAAGTACACGTGCAGTGCCCGTCTCCGTTCTCCTCCTTCCGTTCATGTTGTCGCTGTATGTTAGGACAGCCAGAAACTCACTTTTACAGCAGAGTACCCCCGGTACCATTGCCCCACGGGGTCTGGGAGGCCCCAAGGTAGAGGCACGCTGTCCCAGGAACCTGTGGCTGACACCTCTAAGCACTCCAGCAGGCAGGGTGCGGGACCCCTTCCCCACACCCCAGAGATAAAGCTCTTTTTCCAGCCAAGCAAGTGAAATCAGCATTTGCAGGGCATCAAGCTGCGACCCTGCCTTTGCCCCCTGATAAGGAGAGGGAAAAGTTTGACAGGAACATTCACACACCTAACACAGAGCAGTTCCTCCTCTATGTACATCAACTCACCTATGAGTTTCTCCAAAGCTGGAGGGATGTGTTCAGTGCTGGCAGACTGTCAAAAGAGAAGAGTGACAAGCTGTCTTAGCAGGGTGAGAGCATAAGGGCATCATCTAAAGCAGCCAAGGACTATCTTTGACAGTGGCTAATTCTGGGTGCTTATGGGGAGCTGCAAAGTGCTAAGAAATATACAGGGAGAGAGACCTTGCAGCACTCGGAAACACAAAGACATCCAGATATATCAGTCACCAACAGAGCAGTCCCCCACAGTAATAAGCCACCCCACTTACACTGGCATGGCAGACATTTCAATGCCACTGGCCTGCCCCTTGGGGAGTTTTGCACCACCTGAGCATCTCAAACCCCATTTTAAACTTTTCTTTTTTTCCTGTTTCCCCAGAGCCTCTGTGACCAGCCAGCCAGACCTCACCTCTCTGAGTTCAGCCAGTTCCTTCTCCAGGTGGAAAATCTGAAACATGCTCAGCCCCACTCCAGTGAGGGCCAGCAGGATCAGCAAGGAGACCACCAGGAAGCCGACGCTCCTCCTTTCCCTGTTGTTCCTTGGCTTTCTCCTCCGGTCGGGTACCGGTGGTGGTGGTGGTGGTGGGAAAGGAGCGACGGGGGATGCCGGGGGGCAGGAAGTACTTGTGTTGGCACAGCCGTCCACCCAAAAGATCTGGGGGTACATGTAGTTCAAGTTCTGCTGCATGGCCGGGAGCGGGATGGACTGGACGTGCTTGGCGTGATCTTCCATATGGCAGCCAAAAGCTGCCGGGGCTGTCCCAGACTGAGCCCTGGGGGAAGACCCAGCTCTGCCTTTATACGCCTGCATCACTCCAGCAGTGAACACCCAGCTCAGATGCTGCAACTCTATGAAAGCCTCAAGCATCAACAGCAAACCCCAAAGAGCTTCCGCCCTTGGCTGCAAGTTCAGGGCACCCGCCTGCTCCTCCCACACCGAGGCAGCACGCACACACAGCGGGACCAGCCCGGCACCAGACTGCGCTCGCACAAAACCGTGCTCGGGAAGCAGGTGCACTCAGCAGCGAAGCGCTTGCGGGGCACGTGAGGGCTGCGCTGCCGGTCGGGGGCTGAGTAATCAGCCCAGCATACACCCACCAACCAACCACCCTTTCCAGCAGCCCACTCGAGCAGAGGCAGCTGCTTTTCCACTGCGGTGTCCTGGACCACAAGCAGAGGAAATGAGAAAACCTTTCCCGCTGCTGGCATCCTGCACAAGAGGGGAGAAGCCGAGCTGAGGACTCTTCCCCTCGGCAGAAGGATGAACACCTGATCCCACGTGCATCGGTGGGTGCTGGGGAATTGCTTCATTTCACACAGGACAAATTACTTACCGCTGCCTGTTGCACATCCCACCTTTTCCTTGGCTGGTCTACAAGGCACGGATCCTGAGTCACAGAACCCTGGTCACAGACACCATCCCACCGTGATAAAAACCAGCCTACCCGAGAAGAGGCAGACACTGTCAGTGCTGCAGCCCCAGCAGAGCTGCCCCAGCGTTAACAGCCCAAGCAGAGCCGCCTCAGTGGGCTGCCTTCGCCCACACCAAATCACTGCGGGGCACCGGCCAGGCTGAACCAGCAGCATGCTGTCATGGAGGAAACAGACAGTGCCTTGGGGCACAAGCAGGCTCTTATGGCAGCTTCTGCTGCCCCACTTACCTCTGCAAATACTGTCTCCAATCCCACAGTCCTCTTCTAACCTGAAGACGTGTTAGAGAGGGAAGGGCTTTTTTATCATCTTGTCAGGTCAATGCTGAGCCCTGCAGCAGGACCTAACCTGGCTGAGTAACTTGTGGTTGAAGCCTGGGATAGACACTGTGCTACTCATCTTGGTAGAATTTCTCTTGCCTTCCAAGAAAGGATCCAGAATTCAGCCCATGGTGCAAGGACCAGCACTCATAAGAGCTCATTACAAAATCATAATGAGGAGAGACAGGAACGTTTCCATTCCTCAATTTCCAATTTCTCAATTTCCATTCCCCATTGACCACAGATTTCTGAGTGGCGACAATGAGATTTTCCCACAGATTTAGAGGTGTGCACAAGGGATTATAAACAGCAGTTTGCTCTTCCATTTTTACAGACCTACGTTGAAGTGTGTATTTGTATGGGGTAGCGTTTAAAAAACGGAAATGCTTAATACGAGAACAAACTGGAGATTTGTCTCCTCTGTGGCTGAAGGAAGCAATCCCAACATGCAGGCTTTGATCTTGAACACCAAAACCGGGGTCTGAGAACAGCATGCTTCGACAGCATATGCACACTTCTTTCTCCAAAGCAAGGGCTCAGCTTTGCCTCCAACCGCATCAGTAAGTCAGACATGTCCTCAAAGCCTTGCCTGCACCACCAGACACCCCACTGCTTTTTGAAGATGTTCACCACAGCAGCCGTCTGCAGCATGAGAGGTTTCAGCAACCCATCTGGCTCTTCCTCGTACTTACAGGTTTCTGACATAAGAGTCACAAAAGCAACAGAAATCCAGCTCCGGCAGTTCAAGCCTGGTCATGGCTACCCTTGCTCAGTCCTCCTCTCTGCATCCCAGAATGATGCAGCCAGCCTGAGGACAGGTCCTCATCCATTCCTACGATCATTACAAGACGGTCACACAACGGGCTGGGCTCAGCTCCACACCTCCCATGGCGCGTGGTGAACTCCAGCCTGCTAGTCAGTGCTGGGCATGGAGAAAGAGAGATGCCTCCAAGGCACAGGGAGCCAAGAGAGGCAGCAGGACGGTTGGGCAAGTGTCTCCTGCCAGCACACTCTCCACCGCCCCGCCTGCGCAGGACCCCTGCCCGGCTGCTGCCACGGGTGCCTGAGCCCCGTGGCGGGGGGACTCGCCACCCACTCGGGCTCCTCACTCAGAGTCGGTGCCCGCACTCCCTTGCTCTCAGGGTGGCGAGCACCGTGTGCCCGTGGCTCTTTGCAACACGGACATGGGTGTCAGGGAGTTCCTGTTTCTTTAGTGCTTTCTGTGGCCCATTCAACTGCTGTAAAATACAACGATGGCTCAGGGAGCAGGGACTGAAGCCCAGGACTTCCTCAAAGTTGGAGGCATTACTGACAAGCATGTCAAAAGTCATCGAGCACGCAGCTTTGCCTGGAGAGGATCCACTCAAGTTTTTTCTGACACCGTGCAGACAGCTTATCTTGGTGGGATTGTGGGCACAGTAGCAGTCTCCCTTAAATGTCAGAAGCGTACTTACTTCTCACCCACTGCTTCCTATTTTCACAAAGATGCTTTTTTTATGGGTGGGTGAGAGGGCAGAGACGATGAAACCAATGAAAGCCATGTCAGCCATGCCTGCTGCACCTTCTCTTTTGGATGCTCAGATCAAGAGCCTGCTAATACCACATGATGTTGCAAGCCAAAGATTGGGGCTATTTTACCGTCAAGGATCATTTTTGGTGCACAGGTTCAGAGACCTCTCCCTTCCTAGCACCCTCTACTGTGCTGGTCCTGCTGTCAGATTCTCCATTTCCCCTGTCAGCACCTTCAGAGATCACCAAGATGATACAGATGCCCGCAGGCTCTGTGTTCTGCTGGCTTCCTATTGCTCAAGCGATACACTATGTTAAAAGGGCTTCTGAAATAATAGTGGGACAATTTGCTGTACGTAGACACCTAAGTCATGGGAATCTATTTTGCTAGAAGGCCTAGAGCCAGAATTTAGACAAGATGGAGCTCTCTTAAAATATGGGGCAAGACAGCTGGGCAGGAAAGGAGGACATAAGAAGGGCAAAAGGGGTATCAGGTTTGTCTCTCTGCCTCCCTATCCCCCTCTTCACCCAGTCCGCAAGATGCCCACCCTATTTTCAGCAGCTTTATTATGTCATTTGAACAGGAGGAAATATTTTCAAATGGAAACGCTTTCCATACCCTTTTATCAAAGAATCGATCCCCTCCGCCAAAACCAACAAAAGACAAGCCACAGTTACACAAACAGAAAAAGAGGATTTGGCTCAGAAGAACCCCCTGCATCCGCACCGTGCCTCCAGAGGAGAGGTGGGAGCTCTTATTAACGATACACACCACATGCTAAAGTTTATGTTGACAGCAATGAGAATCAGCCAGCAGCTAGAAGTTTGTATCAGTAGATTTAAGGACAAAAGGATGGCCTTCTTGAAATACACCAAAGAAAGCAGAACTTGAACAATGATCCAGATCTAATACTTGACAGAAAATAAAATTAACAAAAAAAAAAGATAAGTGTGAACCACTGTGTAGGAGAGGCTCTCATCAGGTTCTGGACAGAGTCATCAGATATGTGTCTGTCTGAAAGTGATTAACAAATATTTCCTATCACACTAGTGACTAGTGGAAATGCTAAAAAGCAACTATCGAAAGCCCGCAGGGCTGCATAAATTACACCTAAGAACAACTGAAGAAGTTGAGAATCATTCACATTCAAAAAACAAGATTCAAAACATTAACCCAAGATATTAACAGCCTCGGCAACCTTTTGCAGTCCCAGGCTAAACTGTGCCATCAGAGTCAGGGGAAGCAACTCCTGCACACCCAGTAAGGATCAGCCACAGCTGGCAGAAGAGATGCCACCCGTTAACACCCACTGGTGGGTACGGTGGAAAGAGTAACTGAGAGCACCACCCAGGAAAAGGCTTCTGATTTTCCACCAGGATTATCCTTTGCCACAGATCTCCACAGATCTGGAGAAAACCAAGCAAAATATTACACCAGTAATATTTGCAGATTAAAATAACTGGTAAGAGTCCTAAGTAACCATGAGGACAGAGAATTTAATCAGAAGAAAACAAGTCTAGAAACAAAGACTGCAGATCAAACTCTCTAGATAGAACTGTGTTTTCTTTCTAGGATGTATTTTCTGAAACTGAGACTACCCAGCTGGACACGAGCTTCCAGCAGGGAGGGCCCACAGGCTCCCACAGGTATGAGCTCACATACAGCACAAGACAGCTACAGACAGGCCCAGAACCCACATTGCAAGTTTACGTTCAACTTCAGATGGCCTCAGGAAGAAGTTGCAATAACTGCCAGACAGCAAAGGTGTTCAACTTGGTCCACGCAAGAGCAGATCAGCAGGGTCGGACGGAGAGTGTGTGAAAAACCTCTATAAAGAGGGATGATTTCCAGCAGCAGAGGTCTCTTGAATCTCACAGACAAAAACCTTCCCGGGGAGCCACTAACTGGGAGCCAAAGTTAAAGGAGTTCGCACAAAAAATACATGGATTTTTGACTGAACATTGGAATGGATACTTGTGACAACTGCCTCCAAAGGTAGCAGGGTCTCCAACCACTGAAGCCTTTGAGGGGCGTGGGAGACACCAGAACCCACCCAGCCTTTGCAGTGAGCACCGAAATCTTAGTGTTGTTTCTATGTTACATCTTTTTAACAGTTCAGTTTTCCCAGGCAAGTGTGATGGTTTTAATCTCCTCAACAACTGCTCTTTGCTAAAAGCATTTGTGGCACATGTAGAGCTGTATTTTGATGCCAACAGCTCAAAAAGAAGACATTCACATATTCACACTCAAGAGCAGGTTTCAAAACCCATTTCTAACAGCTCTGGCCTGGCGTTGCAGTGCTTAATGTGGCCCTCTTCCAGTGAGCAAGGTGCTTTGTTCTCTCCTTCATTAAGTACGTGCCAACTACACCATGATCCCAAGAAACAGGCAGCAGCCCTGGGGTCAACTGATCAGAGGCAGGAGAGAATCCAAGGCGGGAAGGAGCCAAAGCAGCTGAGAAAAAGAATTGAAAGCAGCAGAGTAAGATTTTAATTCTTTTGCATGCGCAGTAAGAGCAAGGAAATGAGGTATAGGGGTTATGAGGTAATG